ACTGTGACCTATGCTTCCTGACATAAGTGTACTGTTTGTTAAAAAAACATTATAAATCGGTATAGGTGGGGGACTATGGATTGCCTTGCATTACTTTGCCGTGTAAAACAGGTGTTTTCTTTTTATAAACATATGGTCTTAATAGACAGGTGATCCTTATAAACATATTTTTTGGTCTTTGTAAACAGGAAGTCTGTATAGTAAGGTGGTCTTTACAGACAATTGGTTTTTATAGACAGGTAGATGTTACAGACAGGTTGTATATGAGAGAAGAAAGAAGCCCTGAGAAATCATAAGACTGAGAATGGGTCACTCACTAGCGGTTGTCTCTAGGGCAATATTAGACTAAACATCGGACTTTTCTTTTGTTTACTTCAGAATATATTTTAAAAATTTGATCGAAATTTTCATTTGAAAGGTATAAAAAAAACACTTCTTTTGCAATAATGCAGGTTGGATTTCATTTTTTTTTTATATGGTAGCAAAAAAGAGTTAACTTAAATTTCAATTCTAGATGCCAGGAGAACTGTCTGTTGATTTAATTTAACGGAAAATAAGATGGACTATTCTAAGCACTCGTAGGGGTTGTTGATTTCTCACTGTCTTGTTTTCCCTGAAATACATTAAATCTGAACAGGTTGCCATCAGTCAATGTAGATCAACGTGTTCAAACTGGATTTAAAAAAAAATTACCCCTAGAACTGCGTTTTTTACAGACAAAAGTCAAAATGCACATTGAATTTTGTTTCTTGAAACGTTAAAAGGAAGGATTAAAATCAGATGATGTGTTGAAGGGTATCAAGTCCTGCATGTATCAGGTGGTATAGTGATCAGGGTGCCCCGATTTCCTTACCACAACCTGTAATTGTGGATAAGGTTAGCATGATAAACTATGCACCGGAGGCCAGAAACAAGGGGAGATAATTGTATTGATTGAAGGGCTAGTACATGTACACTGTCATGTTGTGGCTCCCTAAGGGGTCAGTGACAGGCGTAACTCACCGGTATACAGATAAAGCACCAATTACTGCCAGCCAGCTCGTGTTTTGGGCAACAGATTAGATCAAACAGGTATTAAACATCCCGCTGATACTCTGTGTAATTGTGGTACTGCAAATGTGGAACCATTTCATGTTCCTTTAATCGTAGTCTTTGTAACATCATTATTTATCAAACCAAATTTCTTTTGACACTTTCTCCGATACATGTTTTTTTGTCAACAGAAAAGAAAAAAAAGAAAAAAAAACCCTTGGTTTCCTTCAATGTTTATAGCTACAACTCTCACATTTTAACCTTTTCACTCACCTGCCATAAAATGGTTGTGACTTTGAGCATTGGCTTGCATATGATTTCCATCCAGTGTCCATCTAGATTCAACTTTTCAACCTACCATCATAAGATGGTGGGCTGTTCAAAAAAAAATTCATTCATGGTCTAGTTTCAATTCTTTGTCAGTTAGTCTAGATCTGTGTCAGTGTTTTTTTAAAACCATTTTTGTAACCCTTATTTCACAAAAGCTACTCAAAGAGTCATGTTGCAACTTGGTATGCAAGGTCCAACTAGTCTGCACTTGTGCTAATTGTTCCAATTTTAAGATAAATCTAAAAAAGCAAAATGGCTTCCTGGCCACCATGAGGAAACAGGCTGTACGAGATTCCCTTGGTCCCTTATTGTTCCTATGGTGGTTAAGGTGTCTTACAGTTTCGATCACTAGCCTTCCACTACTGGGTCAGGGGTTTTTGAGCCTGACTCAATGGGACCAGTCACCAGGTACAAGCGACAGGTCAGTGGTTTTTCACCGAGCACACCGGTTTTCCTTCTTCTCCACCAAAACCTGACATGTCCTTAAATGACCAAAACTGTTAATAGGGCATAAAACAAAAATGAACCGAACCATTCCTGAAAAAAGGCCACCGGGCCATTTGTCATTGCATGTGAAGTTTGTTATTGCTGTTTTTCTGAAAAAACATGTGCTAATTAATGATGGATCAGGAAGAACTTGGTATACTCCAAACCTTTCGTCAGGGATGTTGTGAATGCTCATATGGGTAATGGAAAACCTAGCTCAGAACAAATCCTTCAAGATCATGTTGCAATAAAATTTAACTGATCCCCTAATGTACACAAGATTACGCAAGTATAGAACAAAAATGGCGAGAAACGAACTTATATACTGTACCAGAAACATTTCATGATCTTTGGGTCTCTTGTTTTAAGCATATTCAAATAAATTTGACCTTGGCCAACTTTGAAGCAGCTCAACAGCATAGAGCAACACATGAGCAATACAGGCCATTTAGGTCTCTTGTCTCAAATTGTGTTTGAAGAAACAACATTTGGTGTTCTTAAAAAACAGATGAAATATAAAATAGACGGTTTTATTTACTTGAATTTCAACAGAATTGGTCTTGTTCTGTTCATTATGAATTGGATAGGATTGTTCCACTTGCCACGCTCAACACATTATGCTGTTGAATAGATATTGCTATTCTCCACTTGAGAGACATTCCCACAAACGGTATCCGATTAAGCCCCGATAGGTTGATTTTTATGCTCATCAGATAAGGATTTAAGTCTTGAATAAGAAAACAGTTACGTATTCTTCTAATGGGTTATTTTTAAAAAAAAATGTCATTGGTTGGCATATTTTTTTCCAACTGAAACTAACATGAAAAAGAGAGGGAAATTCAGATTAAAGCAATTAAGTTGTTTTTTTGAGATCATCAGAACATACATAAACTTTCTGAAACGCATACATAGCAATCGGTTTATAATTCTCAAGGGGGTTAGGAACCAGAAAGTGGCAAAATCTTTCAAGAACGTTTGAAAATGCAAACCCTGGACACTGATTAAAAAGTAGTGTTTTAAGGTCAGGCCCGCAATGCTGGGATGGACCTGCAGACTGGGCATCGGTTTAATGCGACTATTTCGGTTCTTACATGGGTCCCTTGTCTGTTCCCTATATCTTTGTTTACCCCGTTTCCAGCGAGGGTGAGTGATTTTAATGGCTAGCTCAATGAAGCCTCTTGCCAAGTGATATTGGAAAACGTCGTCCGAATTGTTGAGTACGTTGTAATGGGTTGTCAGGAAGAGGTTTATGCCCATCAGTGCTCATTACAGCGATAGTTTTACAGGACTTTGATGTGAGGTAATTGTGTTCTTCATACTGTTTTCATGAAATTGTCTTGGAAATGTATTGTGCAACGAGCAGAGTCTTTACAAAATTTATGAGCCTGTCAGCGTCTCTGATTCTCGCACAGGTGGGGACATTTCGGGCTGCTTCCATTTGAACAATAAACTTTCCAACAGTTTTTTTCGAATTTGTTGTGCATTAATTGTTTTGTAGCTAATCTATTTTCATTCCTACGCCAATAAAACTCTACAATGAAATATTTATCCATGTTTTATCACTTCTACAATTAATCCTCCTTGGCCACAGCTAGAAACTATTGGTAGACTACGGAGCTCGCTACGACACGCAAGCAGGCTTTATAGCTACTCTGCTTTGACTAGAGCTAACTACTATAAAGCCCCTCGGGTCCTCGTTCACAAGTCTAAATGATATTGAATGATGTCAAAAGATTGAAATTATTTTCTAATTACGGCCATTTGTCAACAGTTATTTTGCCTTTCCCCATTTCCCTCGTCTTTTAATTCTGTTCCTATCACCAGAAGTACACGATGAATTTATAATAATCGCTTATTTACGACCATCTACATTCTTAGAATTTGAATTGAACTTTGATATGATGATGATCAAGGGCTCTAAAGGGGATCAAAAGTGCAAAATGAAGTCACAAAACATCATGTCAATCAAGTAGAGAGTCGTGAATAAACGGCTTTCTGTTGAACAATTTGAAGGTTACTGTGTACAGTTACTATTTAAGAATCTTCTCTTCTGAGGTTTAATTCTCGTTCAAATCTCGTTTTGTTCTAGTGTAACAGGATTTCATTAAAATTATCAAATTATGATCAGTTGTAGAATTTATATATAAAAAAAAATATTAGAAAAAATTAAATGTAAGAAAATAGTCAAAAGAAAATTGCTGCATTTGGCATAGAGCATTGTAACATTACAGTTGAAGTAACCTCAAGGATCCATAAAAGAATATTAACGTCTTCCTGTGATTTTTTCCTTCTATATATTAATCATTACCCTACATTTTATCATTCAAAGACATGACTGTGCCTTTTCAAATGCAAGCTTGAATGCACTCCTGTCTTTCCAAACATAGTAAAATGCTGACAAGCATCTAAGTGATCTAGATTTTGACTGCATGACTGAAAAATTATCAGAAAATATGATGTAAATGAATGGAAAAATAGTTGAATGTGTTTTTAATTCTGTCATCATTATTTGGTAAAAGTGCATTGTATAACATTTAAATGACTTCCATTGAATGGCATCATATGAATGAGTGCTACATATAGCTACCTAGTCAGTCGAACTTAAAATGGGATAAAAAATCAATTATGCAATTCACTGGCTTCCTTTATTTTTAAGGTGAACAAAACAATTTGTCAATATGTTCGATTTTGCAATATATGGAAACATATTATGGTTACATATTTAAATACTATGCATTTATCCAAGGCTCGACTCTGTTGCGATTACATCAAAAGTTAAAATGGGTGGTCAGTGGATAACACACTCCCCGTTCACCAAGGCGGCCAGGGTTCGACTCCGGCCGTTCAGACTTGACAAAGTATTGGGTCACTTGTCTGACCACATGGGTTTTTCTTCAGGTACTCTGGTTTCCTCTCACATTAACTCATTCACCCCTGAAATTTCTTAATGAACTTTTCCAGCCTTTGAACTGGAAGAGTTCAAATGTGTCTTCAGGAGTGAATAAGTAAGATACTCCAGCATGCTTCCATCGATCCCGGACAACAAGCATGATTAATATAAGTAAGAAAACTTGTTTCACAATTGTTGCAATATATTTTTTTTTAAGTTTTTATATAATATTAAAATTGTCTTTCATTTTCTGTCTTTCCAGGTTCAACTTCATCTATAACTAAGCAGGCAAGATATAAGTGGCTGGGAAAGTCCTTTTTGCTGACCAGTGTGGGAGAACAGACAGTGGCTGGGAAAGTACTTTTTGGTGACCAGTGTGGGAGAACAGACAGTGGCTGGGAAAGTACTTTTTGGTGACCAGTGTGGGAGAATAGACATTGACAGTTTGTGTATATATCTTTACTAAACACCGTTGGAATATTAAAATTCATGACATTGAATACAAGGTCGAACTTTCATTATCATGTGCCCTTCAACCGTTACAAATTCATCAGGAACGACATTTTTCGCCAATTTGCAGCAGTACATTTATTAGAAATCATTTCATTCTTAGTCATCCATTTTGAATAAAGGTTATTGTGTCGTACAATGTTTCAATTTTTTGTTGTTGTCACTAAAATGAGATTTTGTAGTTACACTGAATCAAAATGAAAGGTAATTACCTTTTAAAGGGAAGTAACTCTTTTTTTTATGTTATTTTGTTGTGTGTATATGATTTCATGCTACTCTTTCTTCTGTTAATGAGGGAGAATACTCAAATCTTTAAAAAATAAATCCAGCTCTTCTGAAGAGGGAATCTACGCAATTTTAACCAGTGCAGTGGTTCTGTCTACCTTGACAGGTTAGGTTTTTTCGAAATAAGTTACACATCTGTATTTGTTTATTTAGTAGGTGTGTGTGAATGATAAGGAACTAAGTGAGAAAACGTTTTAGTTTAAATTATCTTTGTTTAAAGTAATGAACTGCTTTTAGATGGCAGCTATGTGAATTATGCTTTGCAGGAAAATTGCATGAAGTGTGCAGTGCCACCACATGCTAGTTTTCTTGTAGTCAGTCGCCCATAATTACTGCCATCTAAAAGCTGTTGAATTCTGACATTGACAATTTGACTTGAGATACAGGTATTCAATTTTAAATATTGGGACAATGTAATTCAAGTCTGATATCAAACTGTTGTATCTACTAGCTAGCATCTTTTAGCATCCTAAACATTACCATTATGAGGTCAAAATAATGGTGAAGTCAACAATTGGGCAGCTGTTTTGTTGGTCTATATGATAAGAATGCTTATGTACATATTTCAATAGTGGTATATAATTGGATTAATTTCATCACATTGTGAGAGACAAAATCAAAAGGTAAAGCGTTTTTGATTTTAAATATTTGTGATGTTTGATTCTGTCATAAAACAGCAAGAATGTTATGGTGCGGCGTCCGTCGTCCGTCCGTCTGTCCGTCCGTCTGTCGTCCGTCTGTCCGGCGTCAATTTTTTACTTTAAACAACTTCTTCTCAATAACCAAAAGGCCCAGGGTACTGATATTAAGCCTGTAGCATGCTGGGATAAAGGGCTACCAAGTTTGTTCAAATGAATGACCTTGACCCACTTTCAAGGTCACTGGGGTCAGATGTCTTAAAATCTTCAAACAACTTCCTCTCAATAACCAAAAGGCCCAGGGTACTTATATTGGGCATGTAGCATGCTGGGATGAAGGGCTACCAAGTTTGTTCAAATGAATGACCTTGACCAACTTTCAAGGTCACTGGAGTCAGATGTCTTAAAATCTTCAAACAACTTCTTCTCAATAACCAAAAGGTCCAGGGTACTTATATTGGGCCTGTAGCATGCTGGGATGAAGGGCTACCAAGTTTGTTCAAATAAATAACCTTGACCCACCTTCAAGGTCACTGGGGTTAGATATTTTAAAATCTTCAAACAACTTCTTCTCAATTACCAAAAGGCCAAGGGTACTTATATTGGGCCTGTAACATGCTGGGATGAAGGGCGACCAAGTTTGCTCAAATAAATGACCTTGACCAACTTTCAAGGTCACTGGAGTCCGATGTCTTAAAATCTTCAAACAACTTCTTCACAATAACCAAAAGGCCCAAGGTACTGATATTGAACCTGTAGCATGCTGGGATGAAGGGCTACCAAGTTTGTTCAAATGAACGATCTTGACCAACTTTCAGGGTCAAATATGTTAAAATCTTCAAAAAAACTCTTCTCAATAACCAAAAGGCCCAGGGTACTGATATAAGGCCTGTAGCATGCTGGGATGAAGGGCTACCAAGTTTGTCCAAATGAATGACCTTGACCCACTTTCAAGGTCACTGGGGTCAGATATCTTAAAATCTTCAAACAACTTCTCCTCAATAACCGAAAGGCCAAGGGTACTAATATTGGGCCTGTAGCATGCTGGGATGAAGGGCTACCAAGTTTGTCCAAATGAATGACCTTGACCCACTTTCAAGGTCACAAGGGTCAAATGTTTAAAATCTTCAAACAATTTTCAATAACCAAAAGGCCCAGGGTACTGAAATTAGGCATGTAGCATGCTTGGATGAAGTGCTACCAAGTTTGTTCAAATGAATGACCTTGATCCACTTTCAACCTGATGTCCTTGTTCGACATTCAAGGTCACAGGCATCATATGTTTAAATCTTTTAATAGGTTCTTATGAATCAAACACTGATATTCTGCCTGTAGCTGTATTTTAGTCCACTTTTAAGATTACAAGTGTGAGATTAATACCAGGTGAGCGATGCAGGCCCATTGGGCCTCTTGTTTTAGATATGTTTCATTCAAATTGATTTTTTTTTTATTGCATGTCAATTATTTCTCCTGGTAAATTTGGTATAGAGATGCCATATAAGGTAGTTAATTAATTTGTATGCGAAAGCCTTGCCTCTTAGATCCCCATGCTTCTTTGTAACAGTTTATTCTTTGATCAAATATGTCGGTGAGAAATATTTTTTATAAATTTTATTTGCGACGTCTTAACACTATTTAAAGGCCGTATTCTTGGTTGAACTGCAAATTAAATTTTTATTATTTGTCAATTTTACTAGGCTTCATAAAGGACATACATTTCATATTGCATTTTCCCCCAAACTAATTGCAAAACAGATAAACGTTTTAATTCTGATCGCGATCATGTTAGCAGGGTTTTCCCTACATGCACTATCGCAAGATGGTCTCTATGGGAACGTGTGCAAGATAATCTGTATCGTGGGAAGGTGTGCAAGAGTTTCTCCGTTGTTATATCGTGTGCAAGATGGTTTCCTTTGTGGGGTCGTGTGCAAATTGTTTTCCATTTCGAGAACATGTGCAAAGTATTATTCAGTGTGGAAACGTGTGCAAAATGTTCTCCATCGTGGGGACGTGTGCAAGAAGGTCTCTTTTGTGGAGACGTGTGCAGTATGGTCTCATGGAAAATTATGCAATACATGTACACTAAAGGTTTATGAAGACGTACACGTGTATGCAAGATAGTTTCTTTTTAGGAGATAATGGACAAGAAAATTTTGTTTGTGGAGACGTGCAGAAGACAACTAATTTGAAGAGATGTACATGTATGCACAAGATAGTCTACTTTGTTAAGATATATGTGCAGCAAACTTCGGTTGTTTAGGAGTTGCATGTATCCACATGGGTAAAATATTCGATAATTTGTAATCAACATTATCCAATTCCATCTTCACCAAACTTCAACCCAATTAAGGGAAGACTTTTATTTTAAAATGATCAGTTTTCTATCGTTGTTTTGCAATAGGTATTGTTAGATAATCTGCTAATCTGTGTACTTGTATATAATAATAAATACGGATAAATTTGATCATACGTCTTGTATCATTCTTAATGCTGCCTATAGATGTTTACCAAATTCTAATATAGGAGGTGCTCTATTACATATATTATCTGTCTTGTAAGTTCAAAAAAGGGTAAAGTACTGCCTGCTATCACTTACTGCAAATTTATTAACTGATCGGTGTAGAATCGCAATAGCCTGTTGACAAAAACTAATACACTATATATATTCTTCTTTGCCCTATATATATGTGTATATATATAGTATTCAATGTACGAGAGTGCACCATTATGGAAACGGTAGATTGTAAATGACAAGGGACATATACTCTAACCAACGAAATAGTATGGCAAGGGAAATTGAAAACAAATTTAGAAAATGTATGTAAGACATAAATGCCCCCGCTGCCATGTGAAATTAGTTTCAGTGATCTATAAAAAGTTACAACCACTTTGATCTTGATAACCTGAAACATGCACACACACACAAGGTACTACACTTGAAGTTGATTTTAATATTGATATTTTTTCTGTATGTTATTACCATCTCCATAACATATTGAATGAAGTTGCTAAGTGTTTGAATTGAATCAGTAGATGATTTTCTATATATAGCAAGTGTGACTTTGGCCTTGACCTTGGAACCCTGAAACACAACAATGTCTGAAGAATACTCATACTTTTGACCTTTGCATAAAGTTTGACCAAAATCCATGAAAGAATGAAGTTGCTAAGTGTTTAAATTGAATCAGTTGATGATTTTCTATATATAGCAAGTGTGACCATGGCCTTGGATCCCTGAAATGCAACGATGTCCGAAGTATACCAATACTTGACCTTTGTATAAAGTTTGACCTAAATCTGTCAAAGAATGAAGTTGCTAAGTGTTTACATTGAATCGGGATGGGACGGGACTGGACGGGACGATTTTCTATATATAGCAAGTGTGACCTTGGCCTTGACCTTGGATCCCTGAAATACAACGATGTCCGAAGTATACTCATACTTTACCTTTGTATTAAGTTTGACCAATATCTGTCAAAGAATGAAGTTGCTAAGTGTTTACATTGAATTGGGACGGGAAGGACATGAGTAACACTATATGCATTAGTGTATATTTATTTTATATAGATGCAGTCATGTGTGCGTATCTCACTTTCATTTTTCAAAATAATAATAACTTTCATCTTTCAAAATAATAATAATAATAATAATAATAAATCATCACAACCTAGTTTGTAGGTCGTCTCAAAGCGCTTCACAAATTATCCGTGGTTGTAGAGCCTTTGCAACCAGCCAATAGCTTTCTCAACTCCCTGGGGAGCATACAGACGGAGCTGCCGTTTCGGCGCTAACAGCTAGCATTCAACAATTCTAGCGCTGCCCAACCACGTACTCATTTACAACTGAGTAGACTGGAACAAGCGGAGAAAAGTATCTTGCTCTAAGATACAACAGAGTGTCGTGCCGTGACTCGAACCCGAAACTCTTCGGTCACGAGCCCGGCGTCCTACCACTAGACTACCGTGCCTCCCTTAAATGCAAGGTCGTAAACTCTGCAGATGTCATTCTCAGTCCCAAAGGTTTGCTGTTACCTTGATAGCCACAGTGATCCCTTTTAGTCGTCACACGTTACATAATATAAACCAGTACTCCTCTTTTTTTTCTGTATTCATATATTTAAGCAGACTCCACCCTTTCGCAATTCACCAGTCGAACTCGTTGAAACTTGCACTTAATGGTTATGCAACTTTGTAGAGGTGAATTTATGAAAATTTCAGC